AATTGCATGGATTTTGGCCTTTTCTTTCCTTTTTCTGATAAGGTTGGCTAAGGGTTTGTCAATTTTGTTTATTCTTTTGAAGAATCAACTCTTGACTTCATTGATTTTTTTGTGTCGCTCTCTTAGTCTCCATTGCATTGATTTCTGCTCTGGTCTTTATAATTTCCACCCTTGTATGAGCTTTGGGTTTGTCCTGCTCTTCTTTTTCAAGAAGCTTGACGTTCAGGACCAGGTTGTTTAATTGGGCTCACTCTGTTTTCCTAACATGCGTATTCACTGCTATGAATTTGCCTCATAAGACTGCTTTCATTATATCCCATAGATTCCAATATGTTGTATTGTCATTGTCATTTATGAAGGAACTGTCTGATTTCTTCTTTAATTTCATCTGTGACCCACTGGTTATTCAGAAGTGTGTTGTTCATTTTCTGTGTGTTTATGAAATTCTTGCAGTTTCTTTTGGTATTGATCTCCAATTTCATCATACCTGGGGAATGAGCAGGAGGCCAGGGCTGGGGTCGGCCAACAGATGGCTCAGGGCCCCAGCTCCCTGGTGGCCACAGCTGTTCAGCAGAGCCTCTTGCAAGTTTAATGGGGTGAACAATCGGCCGGGGATCTGCTGGTGGAGATAGTGGAGGAGAGAGACCATCAGCTGAGCTGGTGGAGCTAACCTCAGACACCCCTGCCGGGCAGTGGGTTCACCTGCATACAGGTTGCCTTGACCCTGCATGGTTGTATACACCAAGCATTGCGTCTCGGGAATTACCTGCGGGCCTGGGGTGGACGGGAAGAGACTCAGGACCTGCTTCAGCCTGCGGGGCTGTGCTTTTAGTTTTCCTTTGTTCTTACCCATGGGATGTTCCAGAAAAGTGCAGGGAAGGCAGAGAGGATGGAGAGGTTGAGCTCATGCTGCTAAATCAGGGAACTTGGGGAAATCTGACTCTTGGACAGAGACAAGAAACACAAAGCTGAATTCTGAGTTACAGCATCTTTGTCTTCTGTTTGCTCTGAGTCAGCGTCCTGTGTGCTGCTTTCCCCTGGGGATAGTGAAGGATGACTCGGGCCTTCCCCTGTCTCCCCAACGCCCTTCTGCAGGTCCTGGGACAGAAGCGGTGCTTGACAGCCGGAAGCTGGTCGGTTGGCCACATGGGCCACATGGGTGGCCAGCCCATTTACCTGTCCTTCCAGTGTTTTCTTTCTTTGTGTCTTAGCCCAGAAGTCCTTCGTGAAGGGCCTTTTTACATGGCTTAAGTGCATATACACACTTTTGCCTGCAAGCTGGATACTAGGCTCTCTGGTTCCAAATTATTTTCTGAATTACGGCAACTATTTTGAGGCCTTTGATGACCATTGCAAGGGTTGCTCCTGGTCCTGAAGGACTGTGGTTGATTAGAGTCAGCTGGCTCCGTGTCCCGTACGACTAATTCCGGTGTTCCTGAGCCGAGGCCCCTCCTCTATATTCTCAGAGACTTCTGGGCTTGCCTCTCTTACAGCATATATCACATGGTGTTCTGTTTTATTTTGGTAAAACCTTCTCAGCTCAAAGTTTACTCTTTCAGCCATTACTAAGTATCCGGTTCAGTGGCATGAGCACCTGCGCTGTCTTGTGCAGCATCCCCACCATGCATCTCCAGAGCTTTTCCATCTTCTCCACTGCAACTGTCTACCCATTAAACCACAACTTCCCCTTTCTCCTGCCGGACCTGGGAATCCCCACGCTACCCTCTGTCTCTAGAATTTGACTCCTCTAGGTACCTTGGGTGAGTGGACCCATAGTTGTACCCTCCTATCTGGCTTATTTCACTTAGCACAATGTCTTTAAGGTTCACCCATGTTGTAGCACACTGTGGGACCACTTTTTTAAAGACTGCGTCATATTCCCTTGTTATGTAGACACTGCATTTTGTTTGTCCTTTGATTCGATAATGGACATTTAGGATATTTCCATCTTATGGTAGTTGCTTTTATTTATTTTTCTGGTACTGGGAATCGAACTCAGGACTCTGCTTGCCAGGCCGGCACGGTGACACTGAGCCACATCCCCGGCCCTTACTGCTGTTGTGATTAGTGTCAGGGACATGAGTGTACGAATAATCTGTTGGAGCCCCTGCTTGCAACTATTTGGGTCCGTACCAACAAATGGAATTGCCGGGTCATGGTAACTCTGTTTTATTGGTCACATGATTGAGAAAAAAATTAAAAATCCATAAGTAGCTCTTCCTGTCCCTGTAGAAAACAAGCAAGGAGGGCCGGGGATTTAGCCCAGTGGTCCTGCCATCTGCCTTGCAAGTGCAAGGTCCCGAGTTCGATCCCCGGTACCAAAAAGAAAAAGAAAAACAAGCAAGGAAGAAAGTACCTTGTTAATGTTTTGCATTTGATTACTAAAGAAGATAGCAAGTTTTTCTTTATGTCCTACATTCTTTCATTTTGTTCATGCGCCATGTAGTTGATACTCAAAGCTCCCTTTAAAAGAATAGACGAATCTTTTTAAATGTGGGTCCCTTCAGAGGCAGAGGGACTGACTCACTAACCCGTGACTTTTTTTCCCTCTCTGGGAGTCCAGGCTCTGTGGATTTCCCAAGGCCTAGTGTCTCTTCCTTGACTGAGTCTGTCTAAGATACTTAACCAATGGGCAGCCCTCTGTTGAGCGATTCCCCATCAGCTTTAAAACCTACTTCTCAGGAAATTACTTTCACCACGTTGTGCTGGGAATATACTGCAATGGCCGGTATGGCTCACTGGGCATGAGCCGAAGGGCTGAGCTGATGGACAAGCCACTGACCTTTCGGACTCTCAGTGACCTTGTCTTTGACTTTGAAGACTCCTACAAGAAGTACCTGCACACAGTCAAGAAGGTCAAGATTGGGCTCTGTGTCCCCCATGAGCCTCATAGCTTCCAACCCATCGAATGGAAGCAGCTGGTTCTCAATGTCTCAAAGATGCTGAGGGCCGACATAAGGAAGGAGCTGGAGAAATATGCCAGGGACTTGAGGATGAAGGTAGGTGCTGGCAGGACGAGTGGCAACCCATGCAAGAGAGCTCTTCTCCCATTCATTGTCCTTCTTACTCCAGGCTCTGTATTTCTAGTGGCTCCTTATTACAATGAAAAATGTAGGCCGTTTATTCTTCCATATGGACAGTTGGCTTTTCATATCTGTGGGCTTGAAAGCCTGGGGGAAACCAGGAGGAGTTTATGGTCTATTTCAGAGTCGCATTACATTTCCGCTCTGCCTCATGTTTTGCAAAGTCCTTTGCATAAAACTAACCTGGTGTCACAGTAACAAACAAGGGAGCATTCACTGAGCTGGCCTTCTGTGGACTGTACCCAAAGCCCTCTGCTCCTGGCAGTGACCTCCCCGTGACCTGGTGCAGGCTTGTCCATCTGTCACTACGAGAAAGTCCCTGCCGGTGCTGGAGACCCAGGGCAGGGGTTATGCCGACCTTAGGCAGGCTGTGCGTAGCATTGCGGGGACTATTGCCTTCACTGTGTGGGACCTACAGTGGAGACGTCAGTAAACTGAAGCCACTCTGTCCATGCATGTGCGCTGGCAGAGTCGGGGGACGAACAGGGTGCCTGGGGCATCAGTGAGACTTTGCCCTCCTGAACAGGGGCTCACTAGGTCCCATCCCAGCACCAGGAGGCTGCGCCCCTGGGCTCAGAGCCTCTGTCTGCCATGGAAGAGGGGACGCAGTGTGGTCTCCAGTGCCCTGCAGGAGCTGGTACTCTTGCTTCCTGCTGTGTAGAAGGCCAGAGGAGTGTGCGCCTCTGGAAATCTCCCTCCCAGTGGCTTCTAAACCTCAGGGCCATGGTGGCCTGGGGGGCTGCCATGCCACTGTGCTGTAGGGAGGCCTGAGGGTGGGGCACCATTAACCCTTTGCATCTCCCTCAGATCTTGAAGCCTTCGAGTGCCCATTCTCCGACCCAGGTGAGAAGCCGGGGGAAATCCCTGTCGCCTCGAAGGAGACCGGCAAGTCCCCCGAGAAGGTTCGCCAGGCGAGACAAGTCGTGAGTAGTATTTCTTCTTCCCTAGCTCAAGGCCCAGTGCACACATTTGTGGAATTGTCTGGCCCTTGGGGATGAAGGTGTCCTGGGCTTGGCGTCAGAATGCACACTGACCTCTAAGGGGCCAGCTGCGTTGGGGCCACCGATGGGAAAGGTGTACATCGGCCCTTACTCGTCCTTAGCACCTGCCGCCCAGGTGACTAGAGATGTCTTGTAACATTTCTACATGTGGACTTCCTTACCCCCAAAATGGGAGTGTTAGAATTCATGAATTTCCTGAAATCCTGCAGCCCTCTGTGCCCAGTGAAGTGTGATTTCTGTCAGTGGGTGGTGGCATCACACGTCTGCAGCATGACCTTCACCCTTGGCTAACTCCACCCTGGCCGGTCTCAGCCTGGGGCCAGTGATTCCACACCTACTTTAAGGCCCAAGTGACCCGTGTGAGAATGACAGATTGGAGCTGCTGAAGGTGCCCAGGGTGACCAGTGATAATCTACTGGGAAAGACTTGAATCATAATTATCCTGGGGAAAAATACTGCTTTTCTTAATACTAGCAGCCTGCGGTGTCACCGGCACCCCTCGCTGTCCTGGGGACCAGTGGCACCGTGTGCAGGCCTTGTGGCTGAGTCCCTGCTCTGCTGCGTATTCGCTCTGCAGCTGGGCAGAGCCTTGGTCCTTCAGGATCTTAGTCTGCGTCCATGAGAAAGGATAAAAATGTGCCCCTGCCTAGCTCAGAAATTTGCTGAAAAGATCAAATTAGATCCTGCGATGGCAGTGGCGGGTTAGTGGCGAGCCCCTTTTACACAAGCACACTGTTCTCAACACCTTGTACAGCGTTTCCTTTTGGATGAAGAAGCCAGGATGAAAAAGGGTTGGCTGTGTTGTCCTGAGTCCCGTGGTGGTCCGTGAGGGAGCTGGGCTAGAACTCAGGGCCCTGGACTCTGGAAGGTGGAAGGGTGTGTGTGGGTGGGTGGGGGGGTCTGCTTTTGGAAGAACAGGACAGGGCAAGGTATTTTCATTTCCACAGAAGGTTCACTACTTGCCCCATTCCACGTCCACCAGCAACTCCAGGAAGGCCTTGGCCAACAAGGCTGGCGTCCAGGGTCTGAAGGGGGATCGAGGAAGCGGGAGGTCGGAGTGTCCATGGCAGGAGAGGAGATGGGGTAGTTTCTGTGTAACCTTCGTCCTTGCAGGGAGCAGGATGGCTTCAGACCTTCCTGTCGGGCCTCCTGACCCCATCTCTGCCCCACTGTGACCCACACTCTCTCCCCTAGTGATTCAGGCATCCATTAATTGCTCTCACTGAACAGAATAGCAGTTTGGGGGTAAGGTGGAGATCGTCAACAAGGCGTGAATGGCCCTGCAACAGGAGGTTGCTCATAAAGCAGGTAGGGCCCCCTCAGTGTGACCTATGCCCTTCTTACCCAGACAGGTCCGAGTCGTTCTTTAGCCCTCCAGTCTTCATCGGAAGTTGAGCAGCTCACAAAGGCCCACTCTTCCCTCTAGAGGCGGGGGCTCCCAGAAGCCCTCGCTTGGTAATGGAGTCATGCACAGAGCGGCAGTGGGTGGTTTGTAAGATGAGTCCAGTTGGATCCAGTTTACTTGGACCTATGGGGACTTAGCAGGCAAAGGCCAGAAAACGTTAACCATGATTGCCCAGGACAGTGAATATCTTAGAAACAGGTTGTGGAGATAAAAGTCAGGATCAGGTCAAAAGTGGTGGTGGTTTGAGAAATGTGTAGGAAGAAGGCGAGTTTGAGTTTAGACTGTGGAATTTCAGGTGCTTCTTAGGCATCCAGGGAGAATGTTCTAGAAACCGCTGTAAATGCAGATCTGGAGCGGGAGGATAGAGATGAAGGAGCCATCTACACAGAAGTAACCATTGAAACAATAGCTGGGTAAAACGGCGAGGAAAGAGAGAAGGCGGTGAGGCTCCAGGGAGGCCAAAGGCAGAAGAGCCAGAACAGAGCCAGGGTGGGCACTGGCTCAGGTGTGTGCTGGAACTGCCTCAGAGTGCCCCACTGGGGACCCACTCACCCGTGGGTGCATGAGAGTGGGCCTGGGAATGGGGACCAGGGAAAGGAAGGAATCTCCCTCTCTGAGCCTCCAGGTCCACCCCAGCCCAGGGGCACGGAGTGGTCCATTCTTCAGTGAAATCATACCCTTAAAGCTAGAGTGTGGCTACACCCTCCCCTGAGTCCTGAGTCTCATGCCGCTGCCCCTCAGCTCTCTGTCCTGGGTAGAGCATGGTCCCAGGGATCCTTCATCAACTTCATCCAGTGAAGACTGTGGTTCTTGTGGCAGACGCCTTTGTTGCTCCTTTCTGTGCCTCCTCAGCAGGGTCTAGAGGGCAGGTGTCTCAGCCCAGGGCTAGTGTGGTGGGATGAGGAGCACAGATTCTGTCCCTAGGTCCTTCTGCATCCTGACTTCTGAGCTGCAGGGCAGGGCGGGGGCCAGTGTAGGTGAGGGAAGAGAGATGCAGGAGAGGAGAACTGAAGGAAGGTGCACGAGAGGTGGGGAAGGCAGGAAGAACAAGCCCGGGCTGTGCCTCCCTCTCCCGGCGTCACCCAGCGTAGCCTGGCTCCCAGAGCTGTGTCTGCATAGGAACAGGGTCTCCCCTTCTACCTTTGGTCCTCACCCAGCAGCTTTTGCTCCAGGGAACCTTGCTTTCAGCAAGAGAGACAGGCAGGAGCAGGTGTGGCGTCAACTGAGCAACTCCCAGACTCCAGGGACGCTGGGTGGGGTGGTGGCCCGGGCCTGAGCTGTTCCTCCCTCACTGCATAAGGCCAGCCGTCACTTCCAAATGTTTCTGCCACCACCGGGAAGCTTGAGAGTGCCCAGTGGGTGGCAAACGCCCATAACATGCGAGAGGCCCATGTGCTGTGGGGTCCCAGCCCCTGAACTGTGGGGGGCTAATTTTAGTAGCTTTCTGTCCTCGCAGTGGAACTCCTTCCAGCCCTGAGTTCCACTCCATTTTTACACTCGCCTGAATAATAATCCCTTTAGCGAGGAGGATCCGTGTCACCGGTTGACACAGCCAGCTGAGGGGGCGGTGAGCAGCGGCGAAGGTGAGGACATCAGCTGAAACCAGACTTCCTGGGGGCGACAGGCCCACCCCTCCTGGGCATCCTCTGAGCCACACTCAGGGCTTCCCTGTGGTTCTGAGAGAAAGGTGTTGGAGGCTGAGGATGCTCAGTATCCGCCAGGCCCAGGAGCACTCTGCCCAGCGAAGAGCCTTCTGCCACAGATGCCCACAGTGCCCCTGAGGAGCGCGTGTCCTCTCTTGGGTCCTTTCCGTGTCTGACAGGTCACAAAGCCTGGCTTGCTGACTGGGCCCGGGCCTGAGAGGACAGGAAAGACGAGGCAGCAGTTGTTTTGTTTTGCTTTGGTTGGGTTTGGTCTGGTTTGGTTTTGTGGTACTACTGGGGATTGAACCCAGGGCCTTTGCACTAAACTACATATCCCCAGGCCTTTGTTTTCTATTTTGAGCTGGGAGCTGGCTAAGTTACTAAATTGCCCAGGTAGGACTCTAACTTGCAGTCTTCCTGCCTCAGCCTCCCAAAGTGCTGTGTACCGCCATGGCTAGCTAGACAGTGGTTTTCTGGTGTGGCTGCCTGTGTTGGCATGAGAGCAGTCCATGCCACTGGAGCGACCTCGTGGGACACTCTTCTAAGGCCAGCGGCTCCCAGCACCCCAGGGAACCTCGTTGCCTTCTCTTCCCGTGGCTCTTTTCCCCCTCTGTCCCTCCCACTCTCTTTGCTGTCGCATCTCCTTCCCTTTCTCCCTCTCTGATTTCGCCCTTCGGCATCCTCTTGTGCTAGCATGTGGCTGCCCTGCTGAGGACCCTCAGTGCCCCAGGGCTAATAAGCCCTGCCTCAACACAGGGCCTCCTTTCGTCCCAGGGCCACAAGCGGGACACTGGACACTGGGCCCTGTGTCAGAAGGAGACGCCCCCAGGCATGTGGCTGCCTGGGGACAGTGGCTGTTTAATGAAGTCACAGAGTCCATAGTTTAGTTACACGAAATGGGATCAGTCAAAGGCGTCCCTCTCCTTAGATCCTAAACAGGAAAATATTCCTAGGGCCAAAGGAAGAAAACTTCCTTCCTGTGAAGCATAGAGCGAAAACCAGAAAAGGGGGGAGGGATTGGGAGGGCTTCAGAGGGAAAGCAAAGGCCAGGATGACAGGAGGAGCAGCTTCCCCTGACCTGTGGCGATTTCCTGGGCCAAGAGACACAGATGGATGGGGGACAGATCAGGAGGGACCCTGCTAAGCAGTGAGCCTTGGGCCCTTGGGGCCAGCCTCCCCGTAGCCACCTGAACGTGGACAGTGGCACATGGTCCTTCACACACTCAGGCAGCCTTGGCACTGGGTGCTGTGTCCAAATCCACAAGGAGCCCAGAACCAGACCTCCCTGCAGCCTGGCCTGGCTGTGGACATCCCAGGAGCGGCTGCTGGTCATGAGGCTGAGAGAGAACAGGCCAGCACAGGCCAGCAACTTCTTGGCGGTGTTTTCCTTACTCAGCGTCGGGCAGAGAAGGTGGGACTCGGTGTTGAGGAGGATGCCAGGCCAGGAGGAAGTGTGTGCAAGAAAGGCTCAGGAGCAGGGAGCCACTTGGGGAGTCCTGGAAGCACCCCAGGGCAAGAGGCTCCCTGGTTACGCACAGGACTTGGGTACTTTTCAGAGACAGTAGGAGATCTAGAATCCCCATGGCTTGGGTCTGAATCTGCAGGATTGCGGCAGAGGCCTGCTTAGCAGTGACTCCCAACTTTGCTTGGGGTGGCCATCTCTCCTGAGCAATCAGAACTTGCAGGAGCATGTTCTTATTCCACTAGAACCTTCCTCAGGCTGCCTCCAACTCCGCTTGCTACTCGCACCGTGCACGAATGAATTAGCAGTGTATTCGTGAGTAAAGGAAGTAACTGGTTCCGGCCAGGATGAAGGTGGGCTGTGGGTAAGGATGGGTGTAAATGTGATTCGATTTGTGGTGTCAAAGCAGCTGAGCAGAGGTGAGAATGGGTTCACCTGCTCTGCAGTTTGGTGACCACCGTGAGGTCCCAGCTCCGCCATCACTTTCCCTTCCCCTCAGCGGGAAGAGAAGGGAAAGGAAAAGATGAAGGCGCATGCCAGGTCTTTTCAAGAGGTGTCCTGGTGACAGCTGCCACGCCACACCCTCCCTGCGCTCTCGATGGTCACCCACAGGTCAGCCCTGGCCGCAGGGAGTCTGGGAAACGGTTTGTACTCCAGGCAGCCATGTATTTGGCTAAAACTTGGGGTGGGAGTTCCTAAAAAAAGGGGAAAGTAGATGTTGATGGGCCACTAACCGATTGTTTCAACTGATGCAGGTGCAGTTTATCTTTGGGTAAAGGAGTATGTAACTTTCATAGTTACAAGGCCAAGACAGGGGGTGTGGAAATCATATGTTAATTGCTGTGGGAAATGACCTGTATTTAGTCCTTTTCTAAAACAAAGAATACGTGTAAGTGAATTTTTGGTTTTGGGTACTGGGGATGGAACCCAGGCCCTCAAACGTGCTAGGTGAGTGCTCTGCCACTGAGCTACACCCTAAGCTGGTGAAATTTTGGATTACTGAATTTTCTAGAAGTGCAGCCCGTTAGGGAGAGAGAGAAGTTGATTTGCCTTTCTTACCACATGTGCCTCAGGCTGATGCTAACATGGAGAGTCTACTTTAAGGGAGAAAAGTCTCAAATCAGCTGTTTGGAAAATGATCCCGTTTTGGGCAAGGAGACAGAGTAGAGAGTACTTTCCAGGTGTAGGCATCCTCTGAAACCTGGCTTTGTGAGAGCCCTCGTTCTGCCCACCTTCATGGCCTGAGGGGGTGAGACGGAGCTATAAACCCAAATTCTTAGGCAACACTGAGTTCCCTCTGGCTGCCATCCCAGGAAGGGTCCTCACGAGGCCCTGAGCTGCTCTTTCCAGCCGTGGCAGTGGCCCTGTGAAGGGACTGGGAGTGTCCAGGGCATGGCTGGTCTGGGGGACACCGTGAGGCTGAAACTGGAAGCCTTGAGCTCTTTCATACATGGAGCAAGAATCTACATCCAAGCGTAGGGCTCTGTACTGTCTGTCAGCTGTCCTTAGCATCATGAATGTCCCAGGAACCAGGAAAAAGAGACATAAAAAGTAAGAGGCATGGGTCCTGACCAGTAAAGTAAATCAGGACATGCAGTCAAGCTGAGAAATCAGCCCCGTGGAACACAGAGATGATTAAGATTACAAGTTATTTTTAGCGGGGCCGAACAGCAGGACAGGGAAAGCTTCTTATCCACCTTGAGGTCAAGTTTGCAAGACAATGATCACAGACCACTGATGCCCAGATCCCTCTCAGAGACAGAGAGAGGTGAGGAGGGATGTGCCTACAGGACTAATCCCATTCATTGAGCTGAGTGATAGAAGCCAGCTGTTCATTTCTAGCTGAATGAGTTGGACCACTTTCATGACAGAGGAAAATGATTTGCTGTCAAATCTTTCAAAGATATGAATTAAGAAACTTCTTACAATTATATTTTCTTTTTAACACTTAAGAACTAGTTCATGTGTAATCTAAAAATGCCTTTATTGTGAAAATGGCTAAATGTGAAGATGCACGGAGCATCCTAAAGTAGTCATCTTTCACCCAAGGTGAGAAGAGCCTCACTAGGGGATGGAAAAATTGGAAGATAAACCATGAGAATGTTTAGGCATAGTTATGTTAGAAAGTCATTTTGGGGGCCAGGAATTTAGCTCAGCGGTTCCAGAGCCTGCCTCACAAATGCAAGGTCCCAAGTTCATTCCCTGGTACCAAAAAAACCTCATTTTTGAAAATCCTTAATGAAGATGGTTTATGTGCTGCTAAATGATTTTTTCCCAAGTTCAAGTACTTTCTTACATGACTTCAGATAAATGCTAACATGTCGTTTTATATTGGAAAGTACTTTACAATGATGTTTTTTAGGGAAGAGCTGCTTTGCCAGTGAAACAGTTTTCTGCAATGATATGCTTTTTCAGATGAATTCTGATTCACTCTGATTTTATTATATATTCAGGCCTGGAATATTAGCTCCCCATCAACAAGAACTGAGAACTTTGTAATCCCGAGGCAGGAGATGGCAAGTGTGAGGCTTGCCTGGGCAATTTAGCAAGTCCTTGTCTCACAACTTAAAAGGGGGGAGAAGTTGACTCAGTTTGAAGGCCCACGCATCAGTCCCTCATACTGAAGAAAAAGAAAAACTGAAAAACCTCTCTGCGAATGTGAGTCACACTGTAATTCTTGGGTTTCCCCCAGGGCACAAATTCTAGAAGTCAACATTTCCAGGAGAATCTGACTCTGACTTTTAATCCTGTAGCACATGTGACTTTACTCTTACAAGGTGTATAGATACTGGGCTTCCAGAGTTCTAGTGTGACCAAATTCAAGTGTAAAGTTGAGAAAGCTCGTGCAACACCCTGAGAATTTTTACTGTCTACACTGACAGCCTGTCAGGGAGCTCCTGGAACCTATAAAGGTAGACTTAAGGCCCAGGAGAACTGGGAGCAAAGCGGCAGAGGGTGGGATGACAAATGTCAAGAGGGTGTGGGGACAGCACAGCGGCCCCTGCAAATGCTCACTGACTTTGTCCCATCCTCTCCCCTGCTGGCTTCCGGTCCCCTAGGCCTGCCCTGGCTGAGAAGAAGGTGGATCTCAGCACCCTGAATGAAGTGGGTTATCAGATCCGAATCTAGTCAAGCCACAGTGGCCAGCAAGAGGGTTTTGTGGTGCTTCACTCTGCACTTTACCCAGCATCTTCAGGAGGAACTGCAAGTATTTATTAAGAACCTGTGAAATTTATTTCTAAGGATTCACCTGGAAATAGAATCTGAGTGGGTGGGAACAATTAGCTTTAAAACTCCCGAAGAGGCAACCATGAAAAGGCTAAAGAATAAACCCCACCGAGGTTGGACCGTCTCCCTCACTCCAGATCTCAAGGATAACAAACATTAACTGTAGTTTTATACTTTTTCATTTACTTTCTTTTACTTGCTTTGAACATTATGCCTCACCAATAGCAAATGTCATGAAGTCCTTTCTCCCACTTTTGGTATAGTAAGATCAGTCAGTATTAGTCTTTCTCAGCAATAACAGAAGCAAAGATGGGTGGGTTTTTCTTAAGCAGTTAATATTACCTCAGCATTTTTACATCAGATATGCAAACTTAATGGCGTTTTGGTTTTTTATATTCTATTTGTATTGTTTCCCTACTGTTTCCCATGGGGATTTTCACAAGTTTGGAGTATTTTCCTGGTGCACACACGTGATGAGATTTAAGGTATTATATGCAAGTTTTACAAAACACTGAAATTCTTTTGGCAATACGGGAAACCATTTTTAGGATCTTGGAGTTTCTTACTCTTTTTTAAAGCATTCACTGACGGCAATTTCTGTTCTTAAAAAACAAGCACATTTGGAGGCTAGTCTGTGTTCTGTCACTAACATTTAAACTTTGCAAAGTCCAGCAGAAAGCACAAGAGGTCACACACTTATTATGCAGGCTCAGCAGTGTAGTGATTACCTCGGACATAGACACAGAAAGGCAGAGAGGCCAGGAGCGAACCAGCAGCAGGTCTTGAGAACCAGGTAACCTTTCTGTTCACACTTGATGTGATTTTTAAACTCAAGTCAGGCTCTGATTCTGAAGGACTCGCTGTCATTAAATATGTGTTCTGATGTCTTAAGGCCAGATGTGGTTATTTTCCAGTTCCTTGGTTTTAGGTACCACACTTAGGACATTTAGGAAGTATTGGAAAATATATGTTGGAGAAGCAGAATTTTTTTTTAATGAAGTCTTCTGGTACCGTGCTCCATCTTCGTGTGACCTGTCCCTGGAGCCTGTGTGTCTTGGTTATGGTGCAGCTTCTGGCTGCAGACAAGGTGACTCTTAAGGACATGCAGTCTGTGTCCCACACACCTAGAGCAGAGCTTCTGTCTCAGTTGTTTCTGTCTCAGCAGTCACGCCAACTCAGGAGCCCAAGCACAGACTTAAATGAAGTCTGCTAGTGAACGAAAGTGTTAGTTCAGTCTCAGTTACTTCTCCAGATTTCTTTGGCTCAAGGTGGCTATAGGAAAGTAATAAGAACCCACTCTCTGACAGTCTGGAGGTGATGAGGAAAGCAAAAGGACTTCATCCTTCAGCTGTGTGCACCAGTGCTCACTTTACTGTACAAATCAGCATTATTAATGAAAGTACTATTTTCCTGACAAAGGAAGCCATACATCTCACCTAGACTAAAATGCAGCTTAAGTTTAAAATTCTGAACTTAATCACTAACTTCAAGAACAGTATTAGCCAGGCGTGGTGGCGTATGCCTGTAATCCCAGCACTTGGGAAGCAGAGGCAGGAGGATCATCATGAGTTCGAGGCCAGCCTACACTCCATAGTGAGTTCAAGGCCAGCCTGAACTACATAGTGAGACCCTGTCTCAAAAAAACAAAAAATAGGGGCCGGGGATTTAGCCCAGTGGCACTGTGCCTGCCTCGTAAGTGCAAGGTTCTGAGTTTGATCCCCGGTACTGGGGAAAAAAAATCAGTTATTTTAATAATCAGTTAGTTTAAAGTTATTAGGATTGGAGATACAGCTCAGTGGCAGAGCTTGTGCTTAGCATGCAGAAGGTCCTAGGTTCCATCCCAAGCACCAACAAAGTCACTTGCATCTATCTCCACACAGTAAACCAGGCACATTTGTGGCCTCACAGCCACATGTATTTAGATTTTTTTTTTGGTACTGGGGATCGAACTTGGGTCCTTGCGCTTGTGAGGCAGGCGGCGGAACCACTGAGCTAAATCCCCAGCCCCACATGTATTTAGATTTTCAAAGTAACAGCGAATCATTTCTTATTCTGAGACAGTAATGACTTACCCATGTAAATTTTTTTTAATCCACCTGCAACTTTACTAGATCAGTAAGTAGACTATTTAAAACACTACAACCATTCTAAGCGTGGAATAGAATTTGCCAAGTGTTACTTAAGGACCACCCCTCAGACACAGGTCAACTATTTGCATGGCTTCCTGTTTCCTATAAGAAAAAATGAATAGGAATATAAAACTATTGCTGATATGCTGATATATAAGCCTTAAAATTGCCAACTGGCGTAATGTTTAATTAGTAACCTAATTTCTTCAACATGCCTTGATTTTTAGATTTATGTTCCCAAAGCAAGGGTAAGTCACAGAAACATGAACATTCATTTAAAATGTTCTTAGTTGTTATTCTGTTTCTACTGCCTATAGAATACTAATTTCTACAAGATACAGGAAAGTTACCAAACTCCTAAATTCTAATACAGTAATACAATTAAAGTATTATAGGATTAAAAAAAAACCCCAACAACTCAAAAATGACCCAGGAAACCAAGATACATCATGTAAAGGTATAAATTCCCAATGATGAATGTCATATTGTATACCTAAAATGTCCCGATAAACTTAATTTTTAAAAAACGACCCAATTAAATAAGAAAACCAATGTATTTTACTTCCCCAAACTGATTTTAAGATTGGCTGCAATTCAAAAGATAAAAAAATAAAACTGAATTAATCTGAATCTAGTTTTCTAAAGTAATTATGTAAGAAATTTTATGGTTAAGCCATCATTGGCAATGTATGCAAAGTTTAAATGAATGACAGAAATCTTGATATGGAGACTAATTGTGCTGTTTTGAGTATACCTTATTTCAGAAAGTGGTATTTAGTATTTTCTATATACACTGAAATCATGAACATTTCACTTTTTCTAAGTCAATTATTTCATAAGGATTTTATTAACGGATATTGGTAAATAGAACTTTGGAAATCTTAATTCAGTATTCTTACTATACCCAAGGCTTTTGTAAGCTATAGTTTTATGTACAACCTTGTACAGTTTTTTGACATACAATTCAGAGTCTTGTTTATTCTCTTGGACTTTGTTCTGGCCAATACATTTTTTTAAAATCTTTAAGAAAAACTGTGATTGTTTTAGTGAGTATTTTTCTAAGTAAATGAACACTTGTATAATGGTATTTTAGAGAATGCCAGATAAGTGCATGTTTTGAGTTTCTGTTTTTCTCATCTCTTGTATGTTTGTACATAGCATGGGACTGTAATAAAACCATCTTGGCAACTTAAGGATTGCTTTTTTTCTTCTTTCTGAAAATGTAAGATGGTGTGATATTTCTTCTTGTCCTTTTACTTCATACTTGTTCTAATGAATTAATCTGTCATCCTCACCCTTCTCTTTCACAGTTCCCAGACAACGGTATTAAACATTATTTTGGAATCTCAATGAACCTTCTTTTAGCATTACCCCATGTAATACAGGCTGAAAAGGGAATGAAATGGTTTTCAGAAGAACACAAGGCCAGCATATACAGTTTTGTACCCTACCACAGAACTTGCAGGCACAGACATCTGAGTACAATAATTTATTACATAATTTACAGGTACAAAGTGCAAGTGACTTGATGCTCCTGTTTCCCCAAGCCCTTGAACTCCGTGGGTCTTTGTTTTGCTAGAAAAACAAAGGGTGAAAAGCAGATAGTTGCTAAGTTCCAAAAAAAAAAAAAAAAAAAAAAAAGATTTCAAACACTCATATTATCTTAATATCCAAAGGCATAGTAAAATCAAAATGATTTTTTTTTTGGACCAGGGATTGGACTCGGGACCTTGCACTTGCGAGGCATGCGGTGGCACCACTGAGCTAAATCCCCTGCCCAAAATCAAAATGTTTTTACAATTTCTCTTTGCATTTAAAGCTTGGATTATAAAACATGTGAGACTGTGACAGATTTGGTTTCTGGAATTAATCAGATTTGGTTTTGGCAGGTAAATACGAGGCTCCAGCAAAGTTACCAACTCTTCTGGTCAAAAAAAGTAAAGATAAATAGACAATTTAAATAATCACTTTTAGTGGAGCTTTAGAAATCTGTGAGATGGTTACACTGGTCTGTTGGGTTCTGGACCACAATAACACTGCACTTGATAAGCTAAAGTAGAAAGCAATCTTATGGATTAATCTTATCAAAGTGAAGCACAGGAAATGGGCCTAAATTCACAATAAATTCATTAGGTGTAAAAAAACTGGGCTGGGGATTTAGCTCAGTGGTTTCGCCACCTGCTACACATGTGCGAGGACCCGAGTCTGATCCCTGGTACAAAAAACTAAAAACTAAAAAATCGCTTCTTGGCCTTTTGGCTAAGACCAAGTGTAAAAAAACTAAATTTTCTCAGAGGTTTTCAGGGATGTTAAGTTTGCTAACAATGACTTACATATAATAGTTATTTGCTAATAAATTCATTCAATTCAGAGGTAATTAATAAATGAATTTTCATTTCTCTTTCCCCAATACTAAAAAGGGATTTTATACTATCATTACAAATTGATGACTACTCCATCTACTAGTCAGGACATATGATATTCTGCAAACTGAAAAATCTGGGAACTATCTGTATTTAATACTGTAGATAAAAACCAAAAAAAGAAATCAAACATTTAAAAGTACTTGCTTATTACAATTCTTACTAGACAAATCTTTATAACTCACATGCTTCTTTTGGGCTTTCATGTGATCTTTTAAAAATAATTGTAGTAAGCGATTTGATACAAAAATTTTAAAGTTCAAGACTTATTATCTTCCAATTTAAGATAGAACATTTTATTAATAAAATTCCCTATAAAAATGTTTGCAATTAAGTGCAAAATGACTACCTAGTAAAAATGCCTGTAACTCTTTGAGCCCTCCCGTTTAAAAAAAAAAGACATTTGCAGGGGCCAGGGATTTAGCTCAGTGGTTCCACCACCTGCCTCACAAGCACAAGGTCCTAAGTTCGATCCCCGGTACCAAAAAAAAAAAAAAAAGACATTTGCACTTACTTTGTTTCAAAAATTTTTATTCCAACACTTATCTAGAATCAACTGCAGGCTTTATTAAACCTGTTAGCACCACCTTGCGCTGCTGTGTCACTGTGAAACCATCTGAGAAGCAAAGGAAGAGTCCTTTGAGAGCTAAAATGACTACTGAAAGAGTACGAGGACTGCAGGTTAGTATCTCCCCATTAGTTTCACAATTTCCTCACGTTCTGAGGCATACTAAAAATAATCGCATAGCTGCCACTTTGTCTCAACGACAGTTTTAAGAAAATAAATTTCTACAGAATTGGTTCAGTAAAATAAATGTCTCCCCTAACCCAGTGATTTATTCTTGAGACTAGAAAAAGGGGGAAAAAGGTGCTAGAGAAACAGCCACAACCCCAGAGTCTCTGCTTCTTTGAGGCCATCCATCCAAAGGAAGAATGGGCTTATGTAAAGGATTTATCCTCTTACTAGACAGAGCAGCCCACATATCCCAAACATTTTCTCAACACACTGCACCATGCTCCATGGTTCAGACCAGTGATAAGATGGAGTGAGCATTCTGAATAATTTAAAAAGCATTATCAAGCCCCTTCAAAAACTAAAATGGACGCTGGTGAAAGACCCAGTGATTTTTTTAGGTGAACTAATAAGGACTCAACAAACAGGGCTTTCCCAAAGAAACCAGGCCTCTTGGAAAGGAACCAACTTGTGGTTTTCAAGAACCCATATAGATAGTCTGGATCCACTGTAAAGGTTGCCAAAAACACAAAGTGAAATTCTTCACTAAGCAGCCTAAAGAAGATACGCTACATTTAAAATCCAATGTCAATTTTACTAGGATTAAAATAAAAAATATTTATATCTCTTTTACAATAAAGTATTTAGATCTTGTCAGGAAAATATTTATCATTATTAAAAAAGAAAATTATTGTAAACTTGTTTCTTCTGGTATCTGTTACTCCACAGCACAAAAATAACACGCAAACACTCAACAACTTACGTGTGTTGAAAAAGAACATTAAGTTGGAAGAAAATTATGTACATAATCAAAGAAGAGTCAGAGCTCAAGTCTGAACTTAGCCAATAAAGGCAGATGATCCGAAGAGTTATTTTCATTTGGAAGCCCGTTAACAGTCTGCAGGTCTTGCTCTGTAAGAAGTGACAATCTAGCTAGAAGTTTCAAGCCACCAACCAAAGCAACTTCAGCTCCTACATTAAAAAAGCACACACAAATTTAGGGAAACTATGTCAACAGGTTAATGCAAATTAATTATACAAATTTCTTTTCTAAACAACAATGAAACAATTTGAGACCCTTTCTAGAAAACTAAAATGAAAGTTGAAAAAATATTAGTTTTACTGAGTTACAACCTAATTATAATTCTCAAACACAGCAGTTTCAGGTGCAATAATCTTTATAATAATAATTTTCAAATACTCTTTAGAAGAAAATATTAATGGAATACATTGAATTTTTATAGTTTGAGCCAGGCGTGGTGGCACATGCCTGTAATTCCAGCACTCAGGAGGCCAAGGCAGAAGGATCACCACAAGTTTGAGGCCAGCCTGGGCTGCATGGTGAGTTCAAGGCCAGTCTGAATTACATAGCAAGACCCTGTCTCCAAAAAAAACCACAAAAGACAGCCGCCTAATTCATCCACCAGCCATTCTGTCACTGTAAGACCAAACAGACCCAATTATAGTCATGTGAGTGGTTTACAAGGTGAGTGGAGATAAGTCAGTATAATGTAGTCTCAGAGCTGCCCCTGAAGCAGAATAAAAGGTGACAGGTGCTCAATGCTGAGATTTGAGCTGCTGATCCATGACTCTCTCCCGCCACCTAGTGAACTTCTGTAGACATGGCATCTTCTGGAACCTTAGTACAAATTCAAAGGTGCAAGCATGTTATAGAATTGAATTAGCAGGAGTAAGCCCTCTCCAGAGTGTTACTATCTCCAGAAGGAAGGGAAAGGTTGAACCAGAAAAGGGGAAAAAACTAGCACCAAAAAATGGGAGAGAAAAAATCAGACAAGAAAACAAGCTGCCCACATGTAGGACCTGCAAGTTTTCTCAATATTTTTATATTTCCAATTATTTTTTCTTCCCCACTTTAAATCCTTTGGTTAAAGTATACAGTCTGATTTTCATTGAGTCCTACAAGGGAAAGTGTTTTCACCTTCGCTTTTTGCAAACACATAGTAATACTATACTTTTCTTCCTCTTCATAAGAGCCAACATTCCAGGGTCAACGAAACACCACTACACTGTCTGTTGTTGGCAGGATAAGCATGGCCCTACAATGAAGGAAACATACTTAGTAAACCTCACCACAAAAATGTATGCCGACCATTAATAGATTCAGTTTCTATCACGGGACAAACTACATTTATGGCAAGTAAAAATAAAGGGCAATATAAATGACCTGTAATTCAGAAGCTAACTGCAACTGATGGAAGAACGGAGGATGTAATTCTCAGGTAATAATTTGCTTTGGAGATGTTTTATTGCCTTCCTGATCAGATGCAGGCAATAATCTAATTTCTTCAAGTATACTACCAACCCATCTATTTAAAAACATTTTTAACTTCTACATTTAGAATTTAATCTAGGTGAAGCTAACTTTTAGCTAACTTTCTCAAGGTCAGCCATGGGGTTTGAGCTCCTGTGCTCTCTAGCAGAATGATTATACAGTCTTCACCTGGGTGCTCAGCAACGCCTTCCTTTTCTGCCGAGTAAAAAATATAATCCACAGTTATGGCACTTCGGGAATGGCAGGTGGTCACTTCTGGAATTCCAGTGTCAGGAAAGTAGTGTGAATAAACAGAGGACAAGCTGAAATGGTGCTGTAAATTTGAAGATAATCTAAATTGGAAAGAGAAGGTATTTAGAATCCATCAAATTTTTCATGACTTCAGTAAGTTCTATTTAAAGTATTTTCTTGGACCGGGGATTTAGCTCAGTGGTTCCACGGCCTGCCTTGAAAGCACAAGGTCCTGAGTTCAATCCCCAGTACCAAATAAATAAATAAATAAATAATGTTTTTTCTCCTTTATTCCCTAGACTGGATGTTTTATTTTTTATTTTTTTTGGTACCAGGGATCGAACTCAGGTCCTTGCACTTGCGCAGCAGGCGGCGAAACCACTGAGCTAAACCCCGGCCCTGGATGTTTTATTTAAATAGACCACATCACAATGTGCCATTCATATATTCACACAGATACCCACGAGGCTGTACATGGAGGGGGAGCATACAAAGCTCAATTATCAGCAGTTTAATGAGTTTTAATTATCTGTGACAAGTTTAAAAGCCTCTAGTTAATGAACACACACTGTAAAACAACTTAGCATTTTAGGGGTTTTTTTTCGTACTGGAGATTGAAGTCAGGACCTTACCCTCACCAGGCAAGCACTGTGCTGCTGAGCTACATCCCAGCCCCTAGGGGTTGTTCTTAAGAAAATCGAAGTGGACAAATAGCATTCAGGAGCCCTACCTGGTACTCCCTAGACTGCAGAAGTCAGAGTGCCATCTGTTATTTTTGCTCTAATGTGTAAGATAATTTTGTGCTGCTCCTGAAGACAGCATCTATGATGGCTTACATGTACTCTGTGCTACAAATGCAGGTGATTAGTTGTTTTCTAACAACACATCCTGAGTTTTTTTTTTACACATCATGAATTTTATGGATCACTCATGCCATAAGGAAAATACAGTTTTTAGAACATTTTAAAATTCAATAAACAAACATTTACCAAAATCTGCAAAGTTAAGGCACCATCCTATGTGCTAAGGAGACAGAGAAAGATGTGGCCCTTGCTTATGAATGAGTTCAGATGTCAGCAAACCAAGGTTTTTCCTGGAACTGACTTTCTAACAAGTCTAAGAACTTCTCTATAGTAGTATTAAATACAAGTCTCTGCAAGTGTAATTTATCCATTTTTCATAGATAAAAGCTATATATCTAAATGTATTTATATACAGATAAAGTTATCTTTTATATCCCACTTTGTTATAAAAAGACAAATTACTCAAAAATATTATTTGTTAGATTAGGCCTTTTTATTAATCATAGGGGAATGTCTGCTATATTCATAAAGTTTAATCATGAATTTCTCGATATTTTTATAACATTAAAAATTGCTTCATTTTTTACTAAGATTTTTTTTTTTTTTGGTACCAGGGATTGAACTCCGGTCCTTGTGCTTGCACAGCAGGCGGCAAAACCACTGAGCTAAATCCCCAGCCCCATTTTTTACTAAGTTTTTATGAGAGAATATTGTTGCAAAACAAGGTATAAAAAATAAGACTGAAAAAAAAGTAAGACTGAGAAGAGAGCAGATAAAATGTAGGAGAGACTGTTTCTAATTTGGTCCCTAAATTTACATGTTTAAAAAAAAACCTGTAAGAGCCACAATATAAAGCAATCAAAATATTTCAGGGCTGGGATTTAGCTCAGCAGTCCCACCCCTGCCTCTCAAGCACAAGGTCCCGAGTTCTATCCCCGGTGCCAAAAACAAAACATTTCAAGAATCTCCCTGGGGCCCAGGATGTAGCTCAGTGGAGCTGTACCTGCCTGGCAAGCACAAGGCCCTGAGTTCAATTCCTGGTACTGGAAAAAAAAAAAAAAAGAATCTTCCAAAGAGACTTGTTACATTAAACTACATCCATTCCTCAACCACAGCCCCAAACATTGATGTTTCTTTAATAATGAATCCAGGATCTTTTATCTTTCTACCTCTTGTCCTCTTCCTACAGTGAAGGAGACAAAAATAATCATCTTTTCTACTGGCACATTCTTTCGTGGGTCAATTCTCCCACAGACTGTTTTGAGCTCTAGTAAGTCAAAGAAGACTTTGAAATCAAGAGAGATATTTCCTGCGATTCTGGCCACTGTTTAAATATGCAATGGCAATAAATTTCAAAGAGTACTTATGCTGGTCCAGGCCCACAGACAAGCTGCTTCCTTTCCTAACACTACCTAAGCATCGAACACTGTACTTTATCTGCTTTGCCACTGAATGCTCACAAAAACCCAAAATTACAGACTAGGAAACTGAACCTCAGAGATGTGAAATTTCTTGCACAAGATTACACAGCTTTTTAGCAGCAGTCAGGTTTCAAATTCATGTCCATTCACATAAGAGCCAGCGCTCTCCCATCATAAAGTAGCATCACTTTCATTTTTAATCCAAGTAATTGTTGAGAAATGATTTTTTTATTCAACTACAGTGAGGAAATGTCTACTGCTGATTTCCAGAACTCACTTTTCAGCTGTTACTACGACTTCTGTTTTCTCCAGCTGTGTTTGTGTCAAGTCACCGTCTGTAAGAACAGAGAAACACATTAACCCTATGGACAGTGCTTCGTTCTCGTTTGCCTTAGTCCAGCCCTCTTACCCTAGCAGCAGCTGTTAAGACCTATCTAGACATGCCTTGTTAAGTGTTTTATCCTGGAGCCTAAGTCTCAATGGTCTCCAGAATCAGAAAATATAAAATGCACCAATTCCAAGGCAACATGCAAGTAATTCATGCAGAGATAACTTTAGCTGTTCAGTGTTAAAAAAGTAAATTTAGAGCTCTTAAACAAAGGAATGAACAAGTAGCTATATATTTATATATATGAATATTCATCCCTGAGACGCTATCCCTTTAAAAATGTAGTTTGATGTCTTCAAAGGGAGCCCTATTCCCCAGCCGCTGCCACAATATACTGCAAACACTTACCTGACTTCTCTACCTTTGGTACCTGCTGTACCTCATACACACAGTTCTGTGAGATACCTAGGTTTGGGGGCCAAATTGGAATAGATAAAATTCTTTGTCCCCGTGAAGACTGTTCTTGGCCAGATACCTAAACAAAATTTCAACAGGTATCTTAAGTGAATAGATTTTAAATAATTTATGTATTGAAAAGTTATGTCTTAAATAAAAGGTAATCTAAGAATGATAAATATTACCCTTTCTTAGTTCATTAACTGGTTATTTGTGCATATAAAAACATGTTCAAAAACACTTCAGAAAGTACTGTTACATGAAAAATGACAATCTTCCCCTATGCTTTTTCTCTAATTTGAACACTGACATAATCTGTAGCTTTGGACTAAACAAATACTAAGAGAGATCAACTCTTTTAATATTTAAAGCTATCACTCACAATTCCAGTGAGGAAGAGGTTGTTTTGGTTAAATACACTGAGAATCAAGTGATTTACAGTAAGCAGAGGCAAGCACAATAAAAATAATATGGCTAACGTATATTAAGCCAAAGAATGAAAATATATATTATATAAAGGAAAACTTATAGTAAATATTAAATTCATTTTCCCAACTGTATTGCCCACATTCAACATTCAAAATTCTATCTTGCCACAGTTTGAAAAGTCTCTTATTCATGAGGTACGCATGTCTGCCGATGCTTCTTCTTTTCTCCCTGCCTGTCCTCCCCCCCCCCCCCGCCTTTGGCTGCCTGAGGGTAAAGGCAAAATTAAACAAAGTGTACTGGGTCATCTGAGGTTTGTAACGGCCACATAATGAGTATTCTCACATTAGGACAGACAGCGCAACGAAGTTCATCTCCTAGAATGATGAAGTGACCACTTACCTTTCCTATAGCAAGTCCTTCATAATTCAGCCTTCCTTCTTTTATGAAACTATAAAGTGGAGAACCAGGAACAGAGTTAAAGTCACCGCACATAACAATGGGACAGAAACTGCCATCTTTCTGGTGAGCAACACTGGAAATCTCTGCCAGCAGCATTGCCAACTGGGTTAGCTTAATATCACCTCGCCTTGGATTGTACAACAGATGTGTATTAGCTACACAGATTGTAGGAGAGGCAGCACAGGGGATCTTGGGCTGCAAGAGTAAAACTAATCCAATATTGTCTCTGTCCAAGAGAGGGATATCACGGCGGTAGAATTCCACTGGGTTCACTGATAAGAGTGAAAACTTGGAATGTTTGAAGCAAATGGCGCAGCCATCAGGTTTCCTTCCTGTGCGCATCTTATATTCACAGTGATAACCTACAGAAAGAAATGAATTTAAAACAAGGGACTATTCTAATATGATACACAGGTGTCAAAACAGCTCTACTGTCTTTGAACAATGTTTCCCCATTAGTAATGTAGGATGGTAATAAGTGTTGTAACCAAAATGCTTAGGACTGGGTTTAACAGGTCTCTTTAGTGGCAGACTTTAGTCCAAGTATGCCAGTATGCATGAATTCTCTCCCAGTTCCAACCGAGGCAAACTCGGTCATGACAATGACAGGGAGGCCTTAGAAAAATCCACCCCTCCTCCCCATCCTGTCTCTCTGGTCTTTTTGCCTGTACCTCTTTCTCCCTCCCTCCATTCACAGTAAACTGGCTTCCTCCCTCGCCTCAAACATATCCCAACACCAGGAATTTCTGATGCCAAGAATGCTCTAAGCATGGCTTATTCCTTCACCTCTTTTAAGTCTTTGTTTAAATGTCAATTTGTCTGATCATTTTGCTTAAAACTTCTTCCACTGCACTTTCCTGTTTGTCTCCAGAAAACCATCATTACTAAATATGCTCTTATTTGGTTTATTGTAGGGTTTTCTCCATAAAGAAGGAAAATTTTTACTCTTTTTGCCCAATATTCTTTCTATTCTACCATCTAGAACAGTAGACAGGAGACACTGAAAAAGTAGTTGTTGAATGAATGTACATTTCTCAAATTTATGTGACTACAGACGATGTTTCTAAAAGCATTTAACAGGTTTTAAGCTTTTATCCATTATAAAGCTTAAAACCCTGCAGCTATAATGCTGAAACAGGCAGAATGGTGCCTGCATTGGTGTAGCTCTGAACCTTAGATGTCTAGTGGTGGGTAAAGGGCAATTCAGAGATGGCAGAGTATACCATGCTTTCCAAATGAAATGCCTCACTCTTCCTCTGACCTTTTAAAATAGATGCTGTATTTTCAAAATTAAGAATTTTTAGTCTAAATATGCCATACATCTTTGATATAACACACAAATCTTCAAAAGTACATCTAGCTAAAATAAAAGCTACACCATACCCAATGATTCCAGACTTGGCCTGATTTCTGCTCCATAATGATCTTCTTGAACTTCTTGGAGACAAAGTACCTTGGAAGAAAAAAATGGCTTGGATTAACATATAGAGAAGCAAATGTGAATTTTCTAGTGCTTTCATCTTTAAAAACAGGGTTCTCAAATTCCAAACTTGAGGAGAATTAAAAGACTTGTAATACTTTCTTTTTGTTATTTATAGATCAAATTAATATCTCTAAATTTGATCAATCACATGGTACTCTCTTAGCATCCAAAAGTTGCTATTTCCCAAAAGAAATATTTTCAATTTACATGTCAGACTATGTTTCTTGAATTTATATGTTAATTAGTACTAGTGTTCTGGGTCCCTTCTTAAGAGGTTGATTTCTTTCTTTTTTTTTTTTTGGTACCAGGGATCAAACTCAAGGCAGGCGCGGTGACACTGAGCTAAATCCCCAGGCCAGGTTGATCTTTTTCAATGCTATCTAGGTAGAATTTTTTATTTTACTTTATTTTTTGGGGGGGTACCAGAGATCGAACTCGGGACCTTGTGCTTGTGAGGCAGGTGGTGGAACCACTGAGCTAAATCCCTGGCCCCCTAGGCAGAATTTTTGCACAAATTATTGAAAATTCAAATTTAAAAATTTACTTAATATGTTGCCAGTCCCTACCTCAAACTGACCAATATTTAAAACTTTCCGGATCCTTTATCAAAAAGTCAGGCAGTTATTTATACCACCAATCACTGGCAGTGACCCTTGGAGTCACAATGCCTTGTTAAGGACTGTTCCATTACCTTTTGTTTCCATTTTTTCCTTTTCTCATATTCCATTTCCTTCTTTCCTTTCCCCTACCCCTACCACTTCCCCTTCCCCTTTGCCCCTTTTCTTCCTATTTCACATTATCTATTATACCTTTTAGTCCTTATTTACACTTTCAGTTTCTCACACCAGAGAAACTATTCGGTATTTACACACGTGTGTCCTATTTATTTCACTTGAGTATGGCCTCAATATGCGTCCATTTAGCTATAAATGTCTCAAATCTCTCCTTTTTATGGCTTAGTAGTACTCCATTGTATAGAAAATCACATTTTTTTTGGTACTAGGGATCGAACTCAGGACCTTGCATTTGCTAGGCAGGTGACGGAACCACTGAGCTAAATCCCCAGCCCAAAACCACATCTTCTTTATCCAGTCTCCAGTTGATGGGCAACTGGGCTATTTCCAAGCTTTATGGGTGTGCATATATCACTGTGGTATGATTCTTTTCTTTTTTTTTTTTTGGTACTGGAGGATCAAACTCAGGTCCTTGCACTTGCAACACAGGTGGCGGAACCACGGAGCTAAATCCCTGGCCCTTCTTTTAATTCTTTGGGGAAGATACCCAGCAGGGGAACAGCTAGGTCAAATGGGACCTCTAATCCTAGTTCTCTGAGGTATCTCCATACTGATTTCCACAGTGGTTGTACCAGTCTGCCATTACCTTTCTTTAATATCTTTCCTTCTTGCCCCACAACAAAATGTATGAGACTGTTTCATTCCCAAATGCACAAATGAAATATTTAATCCAACTTTTCCTTGCATGGAAAACTTGGACAATTTGCACTTACATCTGCATCAAAGTGCTTAATTTCTTTCAGAATATTGGGAAACCTGAAACTCCAGTGTAATACTGGCCGTCGGCAGTGTCTGTAAAGGTGTGAATTATCTTCCAATAAATCTTGTGAAAGTATATTATAAGACATCACTGAAAAGTCAAAGTTGTTCTCACTGTCTTCACATTTGGGATCGACATTTTTGTCTCCCAGGATCTTGGCATTTTCTTTATTATGGTTACATACATATTCCCAATTCCTTTCTATCGTGCCTGTTAAAATACAGTAGACAAAGCATAAAGAATTAATCAAAAAGAAACCATACAGTTTCTCATGTAGAAGTATCTTCTTTTTAAAAATTCCCATAGTGAGCTAAAATGTTTTTCCCTAGGAAATGGCAATATAGCACTGAATAACTAGAAGTTGTCGTCAAATTGATTACAAAGGCAGCAAAATGATACAGTAACTGACCAAGGGGTATACAACAGGCTTAAAAGGATCTAGCAAGTCCTTCTGGAGGCTAATAAAGCTAAAACTATACAGGGGTTGTAGTTTCTCTTTTCTGGTTAAGTGGTTCTGCATAAACATCTTTATAACCACAACGATACATTTATATGTCACAGCTGGCTTTTCAATGAGACGATTTCACACTATACTTTATTCCCCATTAGTAAGATAAAATTATCAGGTCCAGAAAAACTCTTCAGAATTTTGGTTTATACATGAATGAAGTTGGCATAATGGCAATATATGGAAGTGGTATTTAATGTCTAAAACATTACAATGAAACAATGCAAACCAAATGAACAAAAGAAATCTTTTTAATGTACACAAAAGGAAAAATTAAATGAGACAATTACAGAAAGCTAGTAAATGATGGCTGGCTGACAAACTCAGCGAGCAACAACCAGGAATGTGTTAGTTTATGCTCTGCAGAAAACACCCTGAAAAAGTGATGAAAAGAGAATTAAAAAAGGAAGAGTCTACAATTATAGGTAGTCCTTGACTCAGGAATTACCAACATGTGTGTACACACACATGCATAGATCTTTGATCGTTATCTCTCAGCCCACTATTAAAAAGGACAGTGCCACAAAGCTACGAAGAAAAACACAGAACTCTTGGAGAGTCTGTGCACCCAAAAGGAGAAAACAATGGGGAGAAACTAGATTTGGAGATGGACTTCCAAGCATGACTGGGCCACATAAAAAATTTCAGCCCTAGAATATCTTCTTCTATATGGCATGAGGTTTTTTTCACTTTATTGCAATGCCTAAAATCCTACCAATTAAAAATTAAATTGAGGGCCAGGGATTTAGCTCAGTGGTTCCGCCACTTGCCTCGCAAGCACAAGGACCCGAGTTCGATCCCAGGCACCAAAAAAAAAAAAAAATTAAATTGAAGTTAAAATATTCTATATGCTTACACATGGGTTAAAAAAAAAGGAAATAAGACTAATATTTTTAGAAATTTCTGAGTAGTAGGATTATGGGACTCTTCTCCAAATCATCTATAATGACATATTTACAATCACGATATCAATATACTATACAAAAATGCAAATGAAGTCCTAATTTTAAAAAACCTTCTGGTGAGTTAGTTTCATCAGATTACTTTCCTCAATATCTAACATATGATATCTGCTGCATTGAGGGAACAGAACTTTTGATCAGAGGACAGAAGAGGAAGAGAATTTGTATGACTAGTGAGGTCTAGATGGAAAGAAGGAGTTGTAGATTCATGATACCACGAAGGTACTAGGAGAAGGATAAAGAAAAAAAATGTGGAATGAAACAAAACCAAACTAAATAAAAGTTTTTCACTATTACAGAATTTTGCCTAGAGTTTGTCTTGTGCCCAGGAAAGGGAAGGATACTATTCTATTCCCTGTCCCTCACTGAATCTGGAGAATCCTAGCCCCTGCAGGCTCAGAGCTGAGCTACTGTACTGGCTCTACAGAACTCCTTTGAATGTTTATTATATCACTAGTAAACTGGGGATTACCTACGAAGGCATCTGCCACGAAGTGAAGTCTTCACATGAATACTAGACAGAAAGGGCTGTAGTCATGCAAACAAAATGTAAGGTTCCATCACAAACAGAGCACTATCTGGGTTCACTGCCATGTTAAAATATGAAAAGACAAAGGTGTAAAAAACTTGCTCATAGTTCCTTATGAACTATGTATATATAATGGCTTTTAAATGTATTAAGATTTTTATGATCCTGGTAAGGAAAGTTTGTAAACCAATTCTTTTTGCGTTTTTAAAATAACCAGGACTATGGATTATCTGATTAATACAGTGGCTTTCAAAGTTCTATAGCTTGTAGAACCCTTTGCCAAATCTTTTCATGTCCTGGAACACCATCTCTGGTATGGTGGGTCTGGTGCTGGAACAATGGGGTAAACACAGATTTTACCCTGACTACATTTGCTTTTCAAAAACACACGATGCATTCAAATACGAGTTCCATGGAAGACAATTTGAAAACCACTGACACAGTGGATAGTCTTTGGCCTTCATATATTTCACAACATATATTCACATTGCAAAAGCTTATATACCTTCCATGTCAGGAGGAACAAGGTGATCACAGCAGAGAAGACAGATGAATCAAAGAAAGTAAGCAATAGGCCTGATCAAGTTTTTGGGGTGCCTAAATATAAAGTCATAATTGTGCCACACAAATCCTTCAAATATCACTTTTAAGTGATAGGTAATTTAGCAATGCTGTTCTCTTGATTGAAAAGTATTAGTGAAATACCGGAAGTCACAAAAAGAGCTTAATGCAGAGCCTTTTCCTTATTCACAACACCTAGGAAGAATGGACACATAAACAGTCAGGTTGCAGTCAAAGATGATCGATCAATCTATTAACGTCATTCCTCATCCTTTAAAGGGAAAACAACAGCACCAGTTTCTGAGTACCTACTATGAAGCCCACATGTGTTAGGCACTTTGACATCCTTCATTTCATCCTCAAAGCAGGAGTTATTTTACACTAGGAATCCAAGGAGCAAAGAGACTAAATAGCCTTTCCAAGTTCACACTAGTGGTGGGACAGAAACGAGGACAGAGTAGCACCTAAGCCCATGCTCATGTCTGTGGCTCCATCTGAGGGTACACCAGATTTAGAGAGGATAAACAGAGGAGAGGTGTCTCCTGTTGTTCATCAGGAACAAATACGGACTTGAAAAACAATATGAAGTTGTCATACAGATCTGGATTTACAAATTAACTGTTCTTAGTAATGTGATTTTCAATGCCTCTAAATACACTTTTCACTCCTTCCAACAACTATCTCCGTAGGCTATGGTTAAGTGCTGCACAAATAGATTTTCACTTTTTGAGTGACTAGAATTTCTATTTACATGTGTTTTTTTCCTAAATTCTTGTAACTGTATAGCAAATATACTATACATTTACTTAAATATTAGTTTAATGACTCTGTCAAGAACCCAGCTGAAGTCTGTAGTCTACTTTTTGCTGGCAAAGGCAGAAGGAACCCAAACAACACTACCCTCCACGTCTTCCTCTGACATCTCTCTACACATTCACACACACACAGCCTGCTCTCAAATGTCTTCAGAGGGATTGCCTTCGCTGGAAACTACAGTGCAGTAAGAAAGACAACTCCAAAGCCTACTTACACTTAGTTTTGAGGGGATGGAATGCATGTGGGTATGGGCAGGACCGGGCACAAAAGGAGCCAAGTAAATCGTGTGGAGTGAAAAGAGTATCAGAAAAGATATATAGTTATCATATTTTAAAAACTGTTTCTCAAAGCTGAATATGAAAAAAAAAAAGGTTGAATACTATGTGATTCCTTTTCTAAAAGATAATACTTCCAAAAGACTCAAAAATCTATCTATAGACCCCAATTTGAGAAACATAAATTTAATACACTAAAACTTTATTCTGTAAGAAAACCTTTCACTTATGATCATTTCTACTTAAAAGAATCCTCACCATTTTGGGGCAATACTGGGGATAAGCCTTGCACATGCTAAGCAAGTGTTCTATTACCAAACTATAACTTCAGCGACTTTTTTAAAACACAGGGCCTTAAGTTGCCCAGGCTGGCAGTGAATTTGGTATCCTCATGCTTCAGCCTTTGGGATACCTGGGTTTACAGGCATGCACTACCATGCTTGGTTAAAAGTTACCAATAAAAATGAAAACACAAAATTAAATTTTAGATCTGTGACTTCCAAGAATATATCTACGAATCTGTAAGTCATCAAAGAACTTCAGTTTAAAAAATACTGAATATACATGCTCGGTTCGGCAGCACATATACTAAAAAATACTGAATATGGGGCTGGGGATTTAGCTCAGTGATTCTAGCACGTGCCTTGCAAGCGCAAGGTCCCGAGTTTGATCCCGAGTTTGATCCCCGGTACCAAAAAAAAAAAAA